ATAGGGGGACCATCGGCCAAGCAAAATAACTGGCCTAATCTCAACAGGGAAATCAGTGATGCCCCAGACATTAGCTTTTTAAACGTCATCCCTGCCCGCACCGATGGACGTCTAGCCGTCCCATTTGGGCGTGCTTTTGGTCACTCGGAGACAATAAGTTAAATGGTGTGATCTGTCCAGATATGCTGTTAACTAAGATTATACATCTTTAGAACATCCGTTCTTCGCCTAAAAGACATTATTTTTTAAGGTCGTAATTTCAGTCAGCGCGCGTGACCGGTGGAGCTCCTTAAGTGACCGATTTTTGTGCCCCCGGCCGTCCCAATGGGACATTTTTGGACGACTTATGGTCAATCGAGGACATTTTCGGTTTAGCTTAACGGTTTTAATATTATGTAATAACAACTTGGGAATCGATTTCGGCTTAATGTTGACGGTAGTGCAATCAGGAAAAATGTATTTGCGGTATATGGTAACGGCGCGTTGGAAAAACCATCTGAGTAAACAAAACTGGTCCAAAAGTGTCCAATTTGGACGGTCAGAAGCACAAAAGTTGGTCATTCAGGGAGCTCCAACGGTCACTTCAGCGGACACTTGTTGGTCACTCTTGCAGACAGGGAACCGATAGATTAAAAAATCGTAAGTTCGAAAGCAGAAACAGAAGAATTCAACTAGGATAGTCTAAGAGGGAGTACGATCACCGAATGAGAGAATTAAGAGTCCGAGGTAGTGACCGAGCTGTGTGACCACAGCGTATTCCGCGTTGCTTGTCGGATTTCGGAGCATAAATATCCCGTAAGGTTTCTAACTAGTGATGCGGCGGATCCCTATGGAACTGCATGAACCGTGATCTGTGCTTCTTCAACTTATCATCAGCCAGTCAGGCCGGTGTTTCACCAGATCACGCGTAATATCAGTAACCAAGACCCGATGAGATACGCAGTCGACTGATAAGCGGTTCGAGTTCGAAAGCCACTCCACAGCGGAACCAGAATATGTATTGTTGAATAGCGGCCGAGAGATCTCCGTAGTACGCTTTCTACCTTCCTGTCAGACTTGAGCGCTAATCTATAGTTGCCGAACGACAAGAAAACCTGTTTCCTGGAGGTCATCATCACAACGGTCATGCATATGATATATACAAGAGAACCTGAAAAAGTGCACGATTGATCACTTGGTGATGGCCTAGAGAGGCGGCGGCGGCCCTTATATCCCCAGCAAGGATGAGTCCCAATAACTGGCATATTCGTAACATCATATACATGAACCTGCCTAGAATCTGAAGGTCTGGTTACCACACATGATGCTTGGATTCGAGTTTCCACAATAACGAAGCTTTGTGTTAGGCATGTAAACACACAGGAGATCAGTGGGACACCTCAAATGGTCTGCTCGAAATTTATCGAGATTAAACCTAGTCTGGTGACCGTTAATGTTCAGAATCTCAGTAGTGAGCATCCCCTCTGCCCAGTGAGGGGCTCGAAATCACAACTATCTGTCCACCTTACATCTTACAATAGGTTTCAGTGATTCAGCTACTCGGAACGCCACAGAAATGCCGTACCCTGTGTTGCAAAGGAAGCGTATCATTCTGCTACGAGCTGACCAACTTCATCATCATCTAGGTCTCGCGTTCAAAGCACTTGTTTGTGATCATTTACCCTAAGACCGACCGGTTAAAAAGATATCATGTGAACATTGCTTAAGGTTTGTACAACACCGCATGTTCTCGTGACGCATTGGTGTAGTGAGAGATGTGAAAATACATTTACACGCTTTTAGCTAAAGAAATGAGATTCTACAGACTTGTAATCAGGTAAAATAGGTATCATATCACTATTCTGCGTTGGCGTGTCGCTGTTACGCAAACATAAGCCGTACGCGGTCTGGAATATTACATGAGCACCGAAATCTAAACAAGAGTAGGGCTCGAATATGGAACTTAGCTGTTGTAAGCCAAACGATTAGATCCCTAAGAGATACAAGTCTTACAGCAGTTCATCACCATCAAATGATGGGACAACTAATCGGCGACTTGAGCTATTCGCTTTGTATACTACGGGGAGGAGGAATACATCAATCCAAGGTGAGAAAGTTTTCAAGGGGAATACTAGCTTGCAAGATCAAAATGTTAGAGGCAATCAACTCTTTTTAGTCTGCTGTCCCACTGTTATATTCAGCTGTCCATAGGAGGACACAATGTTATGGTTAATTCAAAGATTTCTCTATGCTCAAAGACAATTTATCCACCGACCTTTGGTTTGGAGTGATCGATAAGGCTCTCTAAACATTGCCCGCCGCAACGAAACCGGACATCATCATGGCGCGGCTCTTTTGGCATCTACACAACCCATAATGGTATGCTGGCAGTGATCTTGGGTTCACTGATACGCACGCACCTCAATGGTAGCCATCATTGATTAGGGATCAAACGAACTAAGCTCCCCAGATTGCGGCTAGGCATGAAGCGGTATGCACTACTGTAAAACTGGCCCATCCAGTAAACTACTGCCATGTTTTCTCTAAATTACCGATCGCCTTTCTAGCCGAAGGACTAATTTAAGATCCTAATTACTCTGGGTATCTGTAGTCTCCCAGCCCAACTATAACTTTGATCACCTTAGAAAAATACAACTCCACCATCAAGCGATCACCGTGCGTTACTCAAACCGCTTCAATAAACTGAGTGCTGTCGATCCATCTCCCTTCCAGGCTGAAACCCAGGCAACTCACCCTGTGTTTTGACCGAGACCTTATAGGACATAGCTCTCAGCCTATAACTGTGGCTCACTTACAATCGCATCTCAGCCGTACTGCTTGTTCAAATTGTGTATAGTGCATAGTTAACTGCGGAGCGAACAGTAAAAGCCGAGAAACATACGTTACACCAACGGCCCTTCATTTGCGCGGAGTAATAAGCCGCTTGTAGCCACAAAGAATTGGTGTCAGCAAGTCAGTCCCGGGTGACTGGGATATTTGGTTCATGCTCCAAGTCTCTCACCTCTCGTCCTCCATCTTTTCAAGAAAGACATATCGCGAAGCTATGTTTGTATACAACAAAGCGCTAGTAGAAAGTACCGGTTTGCTAGTTGTTGACGAGCTCGCATAGGCACTGCACCTAACTAACCCCTAGTAGTGGTACAGCTTGTGTCGAGGGACTGCCCATCGCACGCCTCACTCCAAACCATGCAGTTCGGATTGTGAAGCGAATTTGGCGATCTGCTGGCCAAGGTCGTTTCGTAGTGAGCTACTCATCGCCAGAGGCGATTAGTTATAAAGTGCCGACCGCATGAAACACAAAATCTTGGAGGCAGTTTGGTGCTGTCAAGCTTGCAACACACGTGGTCCCGGTTCATGAAAAGAATCATTCCACACATTGGTCACTAACAGTCGCTAACTCCTTGACTGTTTATGTACTGATAAAGCGACGTCGAGATGTTACATATACAGCGTGTAGAGCAAATGGTCATAATCTTTTGGAATATCAGGGCGAATGGAACTCTTCTAGCTGTTTAGCAAGGACACTCTGCAGTACTTTAAACCGAATGCCTCATCTATGCCGATGACCACAAGCCATGGTTTGAAGTGTTGAACCTCGAGTGGGGTCTAGGTATAAACTAAGAAAAATGCTGCATTTTTCCCATTAATCCTTCTGATCCACTTCGTACCTACTATCTTGATGGGCTACTTTTAAAGAACGCCGCTAAGGAAGAGAACATTGGTCTCTAATCTGAAAACAACCCAACATACACTGAAGAAAGTTGTCATTGCATATGGGATGTGCTGTGCCGTAAAAGTATTATCCGAATGATACCGAGGATCCTGATCGCTTCTCACTTGCGGCCGAACTCTGAGTATGGTTTACCAGCTGCATCGAAAAGCTTCAGAGGTGTGGCTCGAAGTTTATTTCTGCACTTTATCATCTGTTCTCTCCTGCTCTACCTCAGTAGAATATCTACTACGCCATGGAGACCTCATGATTACCAGGCGCAGACTAAGGTGTGAACTTGGGAACGAACAGCAGTAGTTTTCCAGCTCAATATAACAGACTGCACACGAGGTCACAGCTAGAAACTACCCAAACAGAGAAACATAAAAGTTCGCTCAACCGTCGTTGTATACACTCGAGTTCACCGGAGCACATTCTCAATGCACAGATAGAGGAAAGTTTCAGAAGGCTGTTGTTTCACTGCGAATACTGCGCTCCTATGAGGATCACCGGCTCGCAACGGCATACATAATTCTTGCGCAGCGCTGGAGAAGACAGGGCCCACATACGATCTACCTTTAACGATGAACTCAATGTACGGTGTGTAGGACATCGCAACCCTGTGTTGTGAGCAATTCCCTGGACCACACTCACAGGTGCCTCATGCAACATACGTTGTTGCTGGTACCGGAGTGACACGGGACACGGTGCGCTTATCTTGCGGACATAATGAATCAGAAGAAGACAAAGGAACTCTTGGATGGCTTAGAAGGATGCCGCGGTTTTCAGTATCATTCAAGTGGATACATATGGATTATCACCCTGCTGTATTCTTGCTGTGGAAGGTAACTGCCTACCAAAAGCAGTCGCCGCTCAAACTAGCTTCAAGCGAAGACAAAGTGAACTGGCTTTCATCATGTCGATTCGCCATCCGATCTCTCCTCTGCCCAAAGCATATCGGTGCAGACTAGATGAGCGTCGTATGAAATCAAAAAATAGAGGGCTGAATTAGTGACTTCGAAGCCCTTGACAATAGGTTTCAACAATTCTAGGATTTTTATAGTAGTGATAAGAGGAATTTGGATCAGGATTACCTGTCGCTGACTAAGCGAACATTGTGTTGACTAGCATCGAAACAGATTTATGTTAACGATTAAGTGTAGTAGAGCATTACTATCGTGAGCTACACATGACGTAGGTCATCACACTTCAGCCACAGACTATAGCCAATCTGAATTCCTCATTGAAGGAAATGATAACAGTAAAGCAAAACAAAGAAACTAATACTCACATTTGAAAAAAGTTAAATTTGTAGCACAATTTCTCCTTCCTCAAGGCCGTGGATCTCTGGTGTATGTAGTAATCCACCATGAACCGATGAGTAAATGACGCCGTCGGAGAGTTCAATCATGGAGTATTGGGAGATCCACCCCAATCCGCTTCCGGTTGTGTTATCAGTGAAGTAGTCGAGCAACTGTACTTGGGGTATGCTAAGGTGCGTTCACGTTCAACTTCACTCTCAGCTGTGACGTCACGGCGTTGTGATCAGGACGTGGAGCAGCGGCGGCTGTGATAGCAATGAGGCTCAACAGTTGTCACGAGTTATTTTTGCGATGCATTCGTGAAGTGCAAAGAGCAACCGATGACTGTAACTCCACTGTGCACACTGTCAGTCAAATCGGTGAAAGCGAGGGTAGGGCGACAACCGTGTCCCATACACCTAGCATGTTTCTACCCCAGTGACCTCTTAGACTTCGGCTGTCACCGTAAGGGGGCAGACAAACAGAAGAGGCACAAAGCATTACTGACCAGATGTGTACGCATGTGCGTGTTGACCAGACCACCATGGCGACGACAGGCCACTGGCAGGTTTTCATCAAAGGGGGACAGGAAGGCAGACGTGAAAGCACAAGCAACGGCGTTGTAATTCCGTCACACCGGCCCATGTGCTCATTGGTCCGATCAAATGCAGTTCGGTGACGCCTTTGTGATTGGCTATGTGAAAGTAAACAGTTGGGCCAATCATTGAACCTAATTGTGACAATCCCGATGTCAATCACTCGAACATGCTGGCGCACACAACAGGCGTAGGTTCGAGTGTGTCGCAAATACGCCTGCACCGATTTTACCGTTCGGATAGCCGTGATCGCCGTACTGAAGCAATGCATAGGTACGTTCGTCCCGGCAATAGTGAACAGGCAGTGCTTATCAATAGAAGGATTGCCTGGCTAAAAGGTCTTTAGAATAGATAATATTTTATGACCCAATGAGAGTTTCACATGCTAGAGATCAACCAAAACGCTTATGCACTTATGATTTATCCGGGTTCCTGTTATAACCTCAATCTGGAAACATTTTAGCGAACTGATGAATAAATTCACGATTTTGATGGCTAGGAGCAGGTTGCTCAATAGATACATTGTTGCCTCACTGTACTGTTGAGCGTTGTGAAAGATCCAAGCAACTTACGACAATGGGCTACGCTGTACGTGACTCATCAAAGCTTGATATGCAGCATATACATGCTACAAAACGTTCAGTGCTTTTCCAGACAAGCCTAAGCCTGCTGATTGAGAGTGACCATAATGAATTACCTGAATCAGTAGTTTGTTGCTTAACGTGGTCCGTGTTTCTATGGACAATATATGTGGGTTGAATGAAAAGTTTTGAGCCCGACACTGAAATCAGATAGCCGGGCAAACCAGATGTATTTTAATAATCTACCAATTTTCCTTATTCACATCATACCAAGTCATATTTCTACCACTTTTACTTTTATTTCAATAGATTCTCGAAAGGAAAATGGAGAAATCGCGGCATGTTGCAGTGATCAAATATTTTTATCTGAAAATCCAACAAGATATGCTCAATACATTGCATGACAATGCCCCTTCATACGCCACAGTTAAACCTTGGGTGCAAGTTTAGGCGCGGTTTGGAGAGAATTGATGATGAGCCCAGGTCAGAGCGACCATCATCCACCAGCAGTAAAGGAAATCTTTGCCTAAATATGGATATGATTATGGAAGATCGATGGGTAACAGCTCGTCCGGTAGCAAAGGTTGAGTATCTCCTAGGAGCGAGCAGGTAATATTCTGACGAAGGAGCTAGGCTCTACAAAAGTTCCTGCTCAATGGGTGCCACGTTTTTTGACTCCTTAGCAGAAACGCGTTCGACAACGAACAGTTAGGCACTGTTTGAGGCAGACGCCGATGACTTTCTTGCACGATTTATCACTACGGATGAGTGTTGAGTCAGGCACTTTCAACCAGAAAGGAAAGAACATTCAAAACATTGGAAGCGTGCATCACCACATACGACAAAGAAGGCCAAGTTTACACCGTCAACTGGCAAGGTACTGGCCTCCATTTTCTGGGATTCCCGAGGTGTGGTGACGATTGATTTCATTGAAAGAGGCCATATCATCACCGGAACACATTACTGTGTGCTTCTGAAACGTCTTAGAGAAAATTCAAGAAAAAAGGCCAGGAATTCTGGCCATTGCTCAAAAAACACTCCCCGATTGCGGCTTCCAGCTTCTTCCTCACCCACCATATTTACTGGATGTGGCTCCCTGTGACTGCCACCTATTTCCAAACTTGAAAATCTTTAGCTGGCAAACATTTTCTCAACGACCGTGACGTCATTGAAGCCGTAGAAACGTTTTTAGAGTCCAAATAGCGAAGAGATCTGTTTTCGATTATTCTCATCAGGCCATTACAGTACTAAGAAAACATACAACGTGCTACGCTGCTGTCAGCTACGCTGAGGACAACTAAGCCAAGAGTTTGAACGGAGTCAGGAGGTCAGATCGATGCCTAGGTTGATTCACTTAGGGTACGCCCCGCAGAGTTCTTTCCCATTGGGATAAAGATGCGTCAGCACTGCTGGGACAAGTGTGTTGCGCTTGAAGGTGATTATGCCGAAAACTAACTGTATCGAAGAGTATCTCGTTCGGATTTTTTCGAAGATAACTAGTTTGTATTCAACCCAGGTAATTCACGTTCCAGCACCGATGACGCACCACATTGGTTCAGGTAGGATGAGAACAAATGATTTTGAAGAGTTTCCGTGTTGATCATCACTTAGATTCTTCTCGGTTGGGAGTGGAAACTTGGACGTTGTGATCGACGGCTAATACATTGCTCTCCAGGCGATTGAGTTCCGCGAGCAATGCCGGATACAGCGCTTAGAAGGGTACGGATATTATTTGTAGCCCCCCATTGCATGTATGAATAGCGCCAAACAATCTCATTTGGGAGCACAGTTTTCTTCGAAGTAAATCTCCCCCATTCCGATCATTGCAACCGTATCCGAAGGAGGACATTTGCCGAACAACCTCCTCGTGGTGTCAGCTGGGTCTTTCGGCTTTTTCCCGTTCCAGCAAATGGTTCGGCGGCAGTGTTCCAGGACTTGGTGGGTTTTCGCCTGACAAACTTTCTCCCTACAAAAAGCCACAAATGTCTGTTTAACAACACTGCGACATGGCGAATGTGACTCACCACTAAATAAAGTCACTGCCCCTTGCCCCTCCCTGTGAGGCATTGTACTTCAAGGGTGCGTTGGGCCCCCCGGTGCTTCACGGACCGAAAGGCGTATGAACCATCTGTTTGTTCACCGGCTCCCAAGAGGTTACCAAGCCCTCACCTCGCCCTGCTGCCTTGTAGGTTAGATCTTTGATCAAAGGTTAGGAGTAGGGCCCCCTAAGACAACCCTCTACTTCGGCCTGGGCAACCGGGTAGTAGCACGCCCACTGACGAATCATGGACCACACCGCTTACTACTACTACTGCTATGTCGCTCTTCTGTCTTAACTCAACCGCTCAACGTCCACTCACAGACCACCCCACCTCCCGTCCTTCACCTACATGTACTCTTGTGTCTTCTACGGTCACCGTCACAAACGACCCACGTCTTGCAGCTGATGGAAGTAACAGCCAAACTCCCGGTTTTCAATGTCCTGCGATCGCAACCGCCTCTCACTCCACCGAAGCTCCAGCTCTTCTTCGACCTGGTTCTCCATTCATCCTCGCAGCGTTTAATGTTCGAACTTGATGCAGATCGGACGACAAGCATGTCTGGCCCATACTCTGGAAACGCTTTCGGTAGACATCTGTTGCCTTTCAAAGACCAGATGGCACGACTCTAACGCCGTCATCAGAATGGCCTCTCCTGTAAACTCGGATGCCAAATACTACTTGCGGCTTTCCGGAGACCCAGAAATGCCGCCACTGGTCAAGCTGGGTGTTGGGGTTGTATTAAGTGCCAGGGCTGAATCAGCTCTGCTTGACTGGATCCCAGTCAACAGTCGGCTATGTACAGTCAGACTAAGAGGTTCATGTAACGTAAGCAGGCATCGAGACGTTAAGCGTGCCTTGTTTGTCGTCTCTGCCTACGCCCCTACAGACTGCAGCCCGGATACAGTTAAAGATGGCTTTTACCAGCAGCAAGATAAACTTCTGCGTTCCTCCAAAAGGACTGATATACTCATTCTTGCCGGGGACTTTATGCACGTGTTGGCTGCATTCCACCAAGCGAGCACCACCTTGGGGCTAGTTTGGTCTCGGTAGCAGTCGATCAGACAATGGGGACGGACTGCTTGCTCTTTGCTCTGATCATCGCTTGTATCTTTCGAGCACCAGTTTTCGACAGTCGAGGAGACAATTACTACCTGGCGCCCACCCTCACAAACGCAAGAGTGCTCACAGCTTGATCACATAGCAATCAGTTACAGATGGCGCGGAAGCGTAACGGACTGCCGATCGTACTGGTCAACTTTCCTAGACTCCGATCACTCATTGGTTCGTGCTAAGATTTGCATGCGTTTCGGAGGATCACCTAAGCACACTCATTACCGACCTGACGTCGCAAATCTACAAAACCCTGCGATTTTAACCAGGTACCAAGCCTCAGGGTCAACCTTGCTGGGCTCAACTATTGACGGTGATCTCGATTCGCAGTGGGCGCAGATTAACGGTGCTTTAGTTTCCGCCAGTATCGACACTTGTGGTGTTGTCCGTCACCCACAGAAGCATTGGATTTTCGCCGTCTCCTTGTCACTGATGGACAAACGCCGTTTGATCCCATCGGATTCCAGACACTGTGAAGAACGCCAATCCCTTTGTCGAGAGTTGCGCAGGAGTCTGCAAACGGACCGCGAAACATGGTGGTGTGAACGTGCTAGGGAGATGGAGCTTGCTAGTCTCTGTGGTAATACCAGAAAAATTTTCCATCTCATTTGAGTCACCGAACGTGTTCGATCTGGTATAAAGGAAACCATATGCAAAGATTATGCCACCTTAATCACCAATCTTCAATGAGGGTTGGAGCGATAGGCCGAAAAGTTTGGCTCGCAGTTTTGTTGGCCCCCAGCTCCATCTGCTACATCTGGCGCTCGCGCTGAGGCCGGGTGGTCTACCCCCACAGATCCTCCCACTTATCAGGAACTCGAGCAGGAGCTCCGGCACATGAAGCGTTATAAAGCCCCCGGCGCTGATGCTCTTCCTCCAGCTCTATTTAAATATGGTAGCGTTTAGCTGGTTCGAGAACTCCTGTTTTGTTCTCGAAAGTTTGGTCGTAAGCGGAAGTTCCATCATCTTAGGGTGAATCGATAGTCGTCCCTATCTTCAAAAATGGCCTTCGCACAATCTGCTCCAACTACAGAGGAATAAGTTTAGTCCCCGCCGTTTGCAAGCTGCTGGTGTCAATCATACTTCGCATGCTATCCCCAACGCGCGAATCGTTGCAACGAGAAGAACAAGCTGGGTTTCGTCCTGGTCGCGTCTGCATCGATCAAATTTTCACACTCCGCCAGATCCTCGAGCTCCGCCATGTGTATCAGAGGTCAACGATTGCTGTGTTCCTGGATATCCGTGCAGCCTTCGA